TCAGCCATAAAAAGGAACAAAATTGGGTCATTTGTAGAGACGTGGATGGATCTAGAGACTGTCATACAGAGTGCAGTAAGTCAGAAAGAGAAAAACAAATATCATATATATATAACGCATATATGTGGAACCTAGAAAAATGGTAGAGATGAACCGGTTTGCAGGGCAGAAATAGAGACACAGACGTAGAGAACAAATGTACAGACACCAAGGGGGAAAAGTGGCAGGGGTGGTGGTGGTGGTGTGATGAATTGGGAGATTGGGATTGACATATATACACTTATATGTATAAAATAGATAACTAATAAGAATTTGCTGTATAAAAAATAAATAAAATTCAAAAAACATGCTTATTTTAAATAAGGATATAAAGTACTCTCTAGAAAAGTTGTATATGAATTATTTACCACCAAAATGAATTAGGAACTAATAGTACATCAAAATTAAGGTACAGTGAACATTATTTTTATAAAAACTTGCTAGTTTTAAGGCCAATATGGCATATCTTACAACGTTTGTATTTAGTTTTCATAAGTTACATATGTTTTCATGTACATTTTTAATTCCTCTTTTATTAAATCTCCATTTCTATCCTTGGCTCATTCTTCTTCACATTGGTGTATTCATCTGTATATTGTTATATAAAAACATTATTCAGTCCAATAGTTTGTTTCTCATATTTGGAACAAAAATTTTCCACTTAATTTGCTTTAACTTTGCTCAAGGGGATATTAAAACAGGAGCTTTACTATTTTCGTAGATAAATTTGTTTATTATTTACTTTATGTTTTCTACTTGGATGTTATGCAGCCACACCCAGGATTCTGAAAGCTTTCATTTATATTTTATAAATATATTGGTAGTCTATGTTTCTTTCATTGTTTTCTCATTGTGGTAAAATATGTATCATAATGTTTACCATTTTAACCATTTTTAAGTGTACAACTCAGTAGCACTAAGCACATTCACACTACCACTATCCACCCCCAGAACTTTTGCATCATCCCAAACGGAAACTCTGTACCTATTAAACTATAACTCCCCATCACTCCAGCTTCTGTTCCCCCAAACCTCTGGTAACCACTATTCTACTTTCTGTCTCTGAATTTGACTGGTCTATGTACCTCATGTAAGTGGAATCATACAATATTTGACATTTTGTGTCTGGTTTATTTCACTTAGCCTAATGCTTTCAAGGTTTCCATGTTTTAGCATGTATCAAAATGTTACTTCTTTTTTAGGGCTAAATAATATTTCATAATATGTATAAACCACAGTTTGTTTATGCACTCATCTATTGTATACATTTGGGTTTTTTCCACCTTTGGCTATTGTGATATAATGTTGCTATGAACATTGGAGTACAAACATCTGTTCAAGTCCCTGCTTTCAGTTGTTTTGGGTATATACCTAAAAGTGTAATTGTTGGATTACCTGGTAATTTAAAGTTTTGAGGAATCACCATATTGTTTTCCACAGCAGCTGCACCATTTTACATTCCTATCAGCAATGCACAAGAGTTCTAATTTCTCCACATCCTCACCAGTGCTTGTTATTTTCTCATTTATTTTTTAATTATAGTCATCATAATGGGCGTGAAGTGGTATCTAATTGTGATTTTGATTTGCATTTCCCCAGTGATTAATGATGTTGATCATCTTTTCATGTTCTTATTGGCCACTTGTGTATCTTCGTGGAAGAAATGTCTATTCATTTGATCATTTTAAAATTAGGTTTTTTGTCATTGTTGAAGTGTAGAAATTGTTTTTATATTTTGGATGTTAATCTCTTGCCTGATAAATAATTTGAAAATTTTCTCCCTTTTTGAGGGTTGCCTTTTTACTATACTTATAGTTACCTTTGATGCACAAAGGTATTTAATTTTGAAGTCCAGTTGATCTATTTTTGTCTTTTGTTTCCTATGCTTTTGATGTCATGTCCAAGAAATCATTGCCAAATCCAATGTCATGAAGCTTTCCCCTTGTGTTTTCTTCTAAGAGTGTTACAGTATTAACTCTTACTTTTAGGTCTTTGATCCATTTTGAGTTAATTTTTGAATATGGTCTGAGGTAAGGGTCCAACTTCATTCTTTTGCATATAGATAACCAGTTTTCCCAGCACTATTAGTTGAAGAGACTCTTCTTTCCCCATTGAATGGTCTTAGCCCCTTGTCAAAATCAATTGACAATAAATGTATGAGTTTATTTACGGGCTCTCAATTCTATTCCATTGACCTGTATGTCTGTCTTTATGTCAGTAACACAGTTTTGATTACGATACCTTTGCAGTATAAGTTTTGAAGTCAGGATGTTTCAAACTTTGTCCATTAAAAAAAAAAACCCACATGAGTTTCAGCTTGTATTCAGTGCGTGTTAAGTGCATGGCTTTTACAATATGCTCATTAGATCAATATGTTTAGCTTGCAATTTTTGTCTGCCTGGGCTATCACTTACTGAGAGATATGTTAAATCGTCCACTATGTGTATAAATTTGTCTCTCCTTGTGCTTCTGGCCTCATTTTCCTCTCCAGGGCCATTCATTTTGTAACATCTCATCAGAGCTGACTTTTCAGTTTCCTTTTTCAGTTTTCCCCAGTGCACATTTCTTTAATATTCTTAGATACTCAGCTATCTAAGCATTTGATAGACTATCAGCATTTGAAATAATAATTTCTCTATTTTACTGAGTGAGCATTTCTAAGTATTTTGTAAGATTTTTCAGGTTACCTAGTTTGCCCCAAATAGAAGCCTCCATATTATTTCATGAAGTCCTGCTAGACTCTGTTTTGGTGCCTACCTGCCTCGGCCCCCTTTCATTAGCTCTTAGTTGCAATATGTTATGAGTATCTTTTTATTGGTCTACATTTCTAAACCAACAGGCAGATCTTTGAAGGTAAATACATTTCAGATTTGTCTGTGTGACCCCAGAGAAGGACTATCTGTAGGATAAAAGAAGGTCCTTGGTCCCCACATGCTGATAGGAAGTGAAATCACAGTGTCAGAGGGTGTGATTGGAACTTGTGCAAATTTAGTAGATGGTAGGCTGGTGGAGGAAGGAATTGAAGTATTTATTTCTGGGCTGGGTGGAAGAAGGGCCAATCATATGTCTACAGGGGTTAATTTGGGTCTGGAAGTTCACAGGAGTATTTATCCCAGGCCTTAGAGCAGAAGCCTTCATCCTTACAGTGCCAGGGATATAAGTCTTATATCTGGTTTTTATGTCAGGAATTCAGCTCAAAACAGGTCAAGGGTGGACATCTTAGGCTAGACCTCAATCCTCAGACTTCTCTGTCAGTCTAGTTTCAATTCTACCTTTTGTAAGAAAAGCTGTGAACTGAATGAATCAGAATATGGCATCTAATAGGCTAGAGTTCTATCTTCATTTTTGAAAGAACCTAGAGTTCCCAAGATTGGAGGTAGGAGTCCAAACTTAATAAGTCCAAATTTCAGAATGGAATTATTGTAAATTGGTCAGTTAGGAGATACAAAACAAGACTGTTCACTGATGGATGTAACTCCCCTTTCTCTACCTGCCTTAAAGCACTGCTCTATTTCAGTTTCCCAAAGACAGGCATGGGGAAACAATCAGTTACTTCAGTTTTAAAAGCCAAGGATAGTGTGGTTTGATAATTCGACTTCTGCCAATGCTCATTGTTTATGTTTCTCAAGCTTAGGAGCGTTTATCTTACTAAGGCTCTTATCTTACAATGTTCTGTAAATTAACTTGGCTGCTCTTCTTCCCCCAGGGATAATCTCAAATAGCATCCCCAATACCTTTTTTTCTAAAGTTCATGCTACCTTTCAAAATGTCATTTAGCATTTTTCTCATCCTACCAGAAAAACATGTCCTAGAAGGAAAATATAAGTATCTCCCTCTTGCAGGTACTCTGAATTTTTGATGAGGTGGGGATGAGTACTTAGGGTACATTCACGGGAAATCTTTGCTCTGCTTTTGATTGAGATGAGATAGGGGGATTTGATGACTATTTTAGTGTATAGCAACCTGGGTGTATAAGCAAAGATTATGTTTGGCTGTGAGTAAGACAGATAGACCCAGAAGGACAGTGGTTCAACCAGGAAAAATTTTCTATGTCACATAAAATTCTGGAGGTTGGAAGTTTAACCCTGGCTTTATGGGTCTGCTCCAAAGCCCTCCAGTGCATCTTATTCAAATCCAGGCAGCAGAATGGAGGCATGGAGGAAGAAAGCAAAGGGGATGAACCAGGCACATTTAAGGAAAGTTCCCCAAACTGCCACACAATTCCAGTTATCTCCAATTGGCCATAATTGAAAATCCATGGACCAATAAATTGGAGAAAAACAATCATGATCCTAAGTGGCTCCAAATGAGCAAATAAAAAAGAGATGGTTCTATTATTATTAGAAGAAAGGGAGATGAATATTGGGAATAATTAGCAGACTTGGCCCCTAATTAAAATACCAATGATGGAACCCAACTTCCTGGACACCAGTACTGGTACAAAATATCTAGCAGGCTGGAATTAGATAACTGAAATGTGGCTTACAGGTATACCTTACAGTGTTTAAGATCTTTCTGGAATTTTTGGTCTCTCCCATCCTATTGATCACTATGTCCTGCTGATTCTACTTAACATATGAAAAATATTTGACATTTTCTACCATCACAGCTGTAGTGGATCTTCCTTATGTCCAATCTGGACTATTGCAATAACTAATAATACTGCAGACACCTTGCATTCAGTATTTTTCTCTCGTTCCCACACTATGTCTAATATATTCTGTATTACCACCAGATTGAACTTTGTAAGACACAAGGTTAGTGTGACTGAAGAACTGACCTTTAAATTTTATCTAAATTTAAAAACGGAAGCAGTGCCAGATATTTTCCCATCACTGACAACTTTGTTTTGGTAAGACTGCATTTCACTTTAGTCACTGCACTGCATAGATTTTTGTATTATACTGTGCATGTTGTATGTATATGTTGTGTCTAACATCACACATAAACACATCACTGATCTAGTTGGTGTCAAGAAATTGATGTATTTATTTGAATATTTTATGAAGACAACATGAGTTACACTGATATGAAGGAAATAATTGGTAACTTACTTTAATTTAAATTAGCATTCTAGTTTTAAAAAATAAGTGTGTACATTTAAAAAATTTTAAATGAAAGCATACTACTGATGCAGAATCAAGTGGATTAAGTACTATGGCCAGAATAGTTAAAAATAAGAGACTGGAAGAAGATATACTGTGAATTTCATGATGAATGACAATTGCAATTTGCTGTGACAGAGCAAATCAAAAAAGCTGTTTGATTATGGAAAAAAAGAACATTTAAGTTAATGAAGTGGAAAATATTGTGAGACATTTTCAGCAAATACTAGTAAATTTGATGAGAAATTTCCTCTTGATAAGCAAATAGGAATAGATGAAATTAGTTGCCTAAAATCTGAATTAAGTGTGCAATGAAAACTTTAAATAAATTTTAAACATAATCTGAGCTTATAACTCTGTCTAGCTATAAAATGGCTTTGGGTCTTGCCCAAAAAAAGGAATCAACTTTTAGATGGAGAGATAGCAAGATAAATGATTAGTTTAATTGTGGAAATTTTATTATGATTTTATGAGCAAAGACTAAAAATTATATTTTATAAAAAGTGAAAAGAATCTTCAATTAAGCCACCCAACAACTGCCCTTAGAATACAAGTTCTTTCTAACAATATCAAAAATCAATTAACTTAAAATTTGTAAAGCTACACATATTCTTCTTTAGTTTCAGATGAGTTGTACAATATGAGATACTGCCCATTTAATACTCTGGGTACATTGTATCACAAAAGGCTTCCAAATCAAAAGGAAATTTTGTGAATTTGCAGCCTAAAAAATCAGATTCATAGCACAGATATTTCTGAATTTTTTATATATGTCAAAAAACAGTTCCCACTAGCTATGAAAAAAAATAATTTCTATCACAATGGATAGTGCTCCGACAATGTTACACTAAAAATGTGGATTCCTTGGAATTTTAAGGCAAGAGACTAATTAATGTCTTCCTAATTGCTTTCTTCACAGTATGAAAAGTAATGGTTTAGAATATACACATAAATATTATGAATCATTATTACTTTATGGAACTGTTGAAAGAGGAAACAATGAATTTATTTATGTTTTTTGCCAATGCGCATTGGTTGAATGATGACAGAGTTTTACAAAGATTTACCATACTTTGAACTTTGAGACTTAAGAGAAATACTTGCCAAGTATTTCATAATCAAAATCTCCCCAAATGACAATGTGATTTATGTTTTCTTACCATATCATGCTGCATATGAACAAACAAAACCTGAAACTCCAAGGAAAGGAAAAGCATTTCTTGTGACCTAGCTAAAAGGGTAGGAACATTTGTTGAAACTGAAACTTTTAATAAGTTAATGAAAATAATTTTACATATTTTCTAGATGAATTAACATAGAAAAAATACACTGTAATCAAAAGTACTGTAAAAATATGCTTGCAATGAAGAAGTAGGAAATCTTAGTAAAGAAACAGAAACTATAAAAAAGTACTAAAGAAAAATTCTAGAATTGAAAAATGCAATATCTGAAAATAAACATTTGATAGATAAGCTTAACAGCAGAATTGAGAGGACAGAAAAAAGAGTAAGTGAGCAATAGAAATTATCCAATCTGAAAAACTGAAAAAAAAAAAAAGGCTGAAGATAAATAACAGAGCCAGTGACCTGTAGGACAATATTAAAAGATTTAACATATGACTACTTGGAACCCCAGAAGGAGAAGTAAGGGCAGAAAAAATATCTGAAGATATAATGGCCAAAGTTTTCTGAAATTTAGTGAAAGGCATGAGTGTACAGATTTCAGAGGCTCAGAGAACCCCAAAAAGGATTAACACAAAGAAAACTATACCAAGGGACATCATGCTCAAACAGCTGAAAACTAAAGGTAATAAGAAAATCTTGAAAGCACAAAGAGGGAAATGACACATTACACACAGAGGAAAAATAATTCAAATGACTTCTCATAACCTATAGAGGCCAGCAGTCAGTGATATAATATCTTTTTTAAAAATATATAAAACAAAACCCAGGATTCTATAGCAAGAAAAAAAAATCCTTCAGGAACAAAGCATTTCAGTAAAAGAAACAATGAAAATTCACCACCAGCAGACATATACTCCAAGAAGTGCTAAATTAAGTTCTTCAAGCTGAAGGGAAATGATACCAGATAGAAATTTAGATCATTGGGAAGGAATGAAGATCATGTGAAAAGGTAAATATGTGGGTAAATATGAAAGATGATGGTGTTTTTTTTGGTCTTAATTTCTTTAAAAATACTCAAGACTGTTTAAATTTCCAAGTGGAATGGTGATGTGACTTTCTGTGGGCTACTTCTTAATTGCAAAAAACAAAAAAATCCCCAAAAAACTAGTACTGATACAATGGAGAGAGCTGGTGGTCAATACATGAATCAAGAGATCAAACATAGCTTCACTATGTGCCACCTGTTATTTTACAATATTGAGTACACAATATTATCTATGAAGTTATCATGTCAAAAATGTTTAATCTGAAACCTAATCAAGCCTCTAGGCATAACATCCAGTTCAGAATAAATGCGAGGGATAGAGAAACAACTTAAGCCCACTCAGAGAAAAATTAGTACAAATACAGAATGTGCAACATTATATGGTTACTTCTCCTGAGTCTTCAAAAAGTTTGTCACAAAACAGGTAGAGGATAAGTGTTTGACCAAAAGAGACTCAATAGCCATAATCATATAAAATATGTGACCTTAGTTTGGTTTTAGGCTTAAAAAAAAAAGCCAGCACTTTCAAAAGACATTCTTTAAAAAATTGGAGAATTCTGTAAATGGGATGAATATTACAGAATATTATAGGTCTACTGTTGTTTTTTAGGTGACAGTGGCTTAGTGGTCATGTAGAAGATAATCTTTAAATCTAGCAGTTGTATTTTTGAGTTGTATGTTGATTTTTTTTAGAGGTGAAGTGATACCTAAAACATTCACTCAGAAGGCACAGCAAAATTATATATATATAAAATCTATAATATATGTGAATCTGTATATATACATTTTCATGAGAGAGAGATACTAAATATAGGTGGAGGGTAAATAAACCTTCCTTGTACTATTGTTGTACCTTTTATGTAAATTTAACATTTTTCAAATACTTGAGGAAACCTTCTCCAAGTCAACATCTGTCTTTTGGCTACCCATTGTTAATCTCTAATTTCCATGAGTTGTAGGGAATGTGGATTGTATGTTATCTGTATTATAGAAATTATTATAAAAAAATTTCTTCAAACCACTTTCCAATTTTTCAACAGCTATATTCTGAATATTCAAAAGCATAGGGTTTCTTACCATTATTAATCTTCAGGGGGATGAGCTTTGAATAAAAAAGTTTCTTGTTTAAAACATTCTATGGGATTTTGTCCAGAATTAATTATCTGAAATGAAATATGGATGAGTGATGATAGATTTTTAAAATATGCTCACAGGGTCTTCCTTCCACATGAATTTATTTATAGTAATACTAGTAATTATCATTAAAGAATGATACAAGATTTAGTAAGCAAATACTCTGTGCCAGATGCCCTTCCAAACAATCATATTTTATGTTAAATAATTTAATCTTTACCATATCGTTAGGTGGTAGAATAGTGATAAATGTTAAGGGATGTGTCATGGCTAAAGGCTTTCTGACTCTCATTACATTAAGACTTTCTCGCCAATGTGAAATCTTTGATGTTGAGTTAGTTGATAGCAACGAGTAAAGGCTTTCCCACATTCCTTACATTTATGTGGCTTCACACCAGTATGAATTCTCTGATGTTGAGCAAGTCGATCGCTACGATTAAAGGCCTTACCACATTCTTTACATTCATAAGGTTTTTCACCAGTATGAATTCTCTTATGTTGAGAAAGACCTGAGATAGAACGGAAGGCCTTCTTACATTCTTTACATATATATGGTTTCAAACCAGTATGGATTGTCTGATGATAAATTAGTTGAGAATTAAGTCTAAAGGTTTTTCCACATTCCTTACATTCATAAGGTTTCTCCCCGGCATGAATTGACTGATGTGTTTTAAGGTCTCCAACACGACTGAAGGCTTTCCCACATTGTTTACATTCATATGGTTTCAAATCACTGTGAATGATCTGATGTTGAATAAGGTAAGAGTGGAGCTTAAAAGTCTTCCCACATTCTTTGCATTCATGGGGCTTCTCGCCAGTATGAATTCTCTGATGCTGTGTAAGTTGAGAGCCTCTACAGAAGGCCTTTCCACATTCCTTACAATCATAGAGTTTCTCGCTACTATGAATTCTCTTATGTTTAAGAAGGCTTGAGCCCCTACTAAAGGCTTTTCCACATTCCTTACATTCATGAGGCTTCTCACCAGTATGACTTCTCTGATGTTCAATAAGTAGATAACTGCGAACAAAGGCCTTTCCACATTGTTTACATTTATATGGTTTCTCACCAGAATGAATTTTTTTATGCTGATAGAGACTTGAACGATGACCAAAGGCCCTTCCACATTCCTTACAAATATAGGGTTTCACACCATGATGAATTTTCTGATGGAGACACATATGTCGGTACAACCTAAAAGTTTCCCCACATTCCTTACATTTGTAGGGTTTCAAACCAATATGAATTTTCTGATGTTCAGTAAGGTGAGAATGACGTCTAAAGGCCTTCCCACATTGCTTACATTCATAGGGTTTCACACCAGTGTGAATTATTTGATGTTGAATAAGCTGGGAATAAAACCTAAAGGCCTTCTCACATCCATTACATTCAAAGGGTTTCAAATCAGTGTGACTTTTTTTATGTCTAATAAAATGCTGGAGAACTATAAAGACCTTTCCACATTCCTTACATTCATAGGGTCTTACACCACTATGGTCTCTCAGATGTTCAATAAGGTGTGAATATTTCCTAAAGCCCTTTCTACATTCCTTACATTCATATGACTTCTCTTTAGTGTGAAGTCTTTGATGTAGAGGAAGGGATATATGTTTCCGGAATATCATGTGATTAAAATATCCCATTTTAGGTTTCTGTTGTCTTTCAAATTTAGTTCTGTTCTGTGAGTCATTTCTGAAAATAAACGCCATAACGTTGAAGGTTTTACTTCTATTCATTGTCTCCCGATGGTATGAATTTACTTCATAACTGCTTTTTTCTGAAGATAATTTGTTGCTCTCACTTGTGAAATCAATGTCTGAAAAAAAATGAGAGAACAAACAAATGCTATTTTTCTTGTACAAGGGGAAATATAAGAAGAATAATAAATTGACAAGTATATCCATTAGAAGTAAAAGGGTCATAAAATTCTAAAAAATGTGATGAAATTTTTTAAAGGCAAGAAGGGCTCAGAAAATTATTAAAGCTAACATGAGAATGTAAAGTTTGTGAATAGGCAAAGAGAAAAATCAGTAGTTCTCATATTTAGTTGTGGATCAGTATTTCCACAGGAATTTCTTACATATACAACCCTTCTCTTTTGAGAGAGTTGAAGCAGAAAAGAATAGCTTTATTTGCTTTGCCAGGCACAGGGGGCAACAGCAGGCTAATGTCCTCAAAACTGTGTGTGCCAACCTGGAGGGGTGTAGTGAGAAGTTTTATAATAATGGTTCAAAGAGGGTGTGATGTATGTATATACTACCCTTTAGATATCCACTGAGACTGAGTGAATCAGAATCTGTGAGTAGGTCCTGGTCATCTACATTTTTAATATTCTCTACCAGATGGTTCTCTATGTAATTTTTTCAATGGTCTGTCTTTATCTTAGAGTGAAACCCAAGCGCATAACCATAAATAAGAAGACTCTGTCTTACTTCTACAAATTCATTTCAAGCCCTTGACATCTTTTCCCCTATATCTGACCACACTGCATCTTTTCAGCTACTAGAACATACTGCAACTTTTCCCATTGCCTGTGGCTTCACACGGATGCTTTACCTTGCAGGAATCCTCTTAGGTGGCTTCTCTAAATGATTGTCTTCAGGTGTTACAAATCACTTCCTCAGAAAGGCTGGCTCTGCTAACTGTAAGTAAATTCATATCCTTTATTCTATATTCCAACATCTAATTCTTTGTCTTCATGATGCTTTTCTCTCGTACATATTTATTGTCTCATTTGTCTTACTATTTATTTTCTTATTCTAAAGCTCAAGTATGAATTCAAAACTTCTTTCAACTACCACTGAAAAACAAGTTCTACCACAAGGTAAGTATTAAATAATGAACTGTAGAATAAAATAGTGAATTAAAAAAGGTAACTTGGATGAAAATCAAGGTAAGTAAGGATAAAAATCAAGGTCAGTGGAGAAGGCAACTGAGTAAAATAATGATCTAGTTTCTGAAAATTATGCAACAGTTACCAACTATCTCTCTCTGACTCTAATCTCTCACACTTTATTGCCTCAGTAGCGGGGCCAAATTAGCCCTAGACTAAAAGCTGTTCTGGACCCAGCTTAATAGAGCTTAAAAGCAAACCATGAAAGGATCAACAAGTCCCATTTACTGAATCCCAGAACAAAGTCCCCCAATCCAGCATTCCAACACAGTAAACGTTGCAATGTCTGGCACCTAATACAAAAATTATCAGGCATGCAAAGTAGTAGGAAAATATAACCCTTCCTAGGAGAAAAATCAAGAAAAAGAAACAGAGCAAGGAGTGACACAGATAATAGAATTAGTAGACAAGGATATTTAGAGAGCTATTATAAATATACTCTGTATTTTCAAGTAGCTATTTTCTAGTCATCTCTTACTTTTCTGTAGCTTTATCCTTTGTCAGAATCCACATATAAGAGGTCATGGGGAAAATTTCCCCCAAATTCTTACATGTTCAAACTTTTGCACTTTAATGACAAACCATCCAGGCCTGAATCTTCCAATTTGTGGGAAGGCTCTTGATGACTGATGCAGTTTCTTTAGTGCTTGTGAGAGTTTTCATATTTTCAATTTTTTTCTCGAGTGTTTGTTTTGTAGATTAAAATTTTCTAATAATTTATTTCATTCGATTTTTCAGTTTTTGGCATAATGTTTATCAAAATTAGCATCATATTTTCAAGGTTTCAGGATTTGTAATGAGGCCCCCTTTTTTCTTACATAGATTCACGTTGAGAGAGTTGCACCAATTTTATTAATTCTTTGAAATAACCAAATTTATAGTTTTGACTTGCTCTTTTATATGTTCAGTTTTTATTTCATTAATTTCTGTTCTTTCCTTTATTATTTCCTTTCTTCCACTTTCTTTAAGTCTGTTGTGCTCTTCCTAACTTACCAAATGGATGGTTAGCTTATTAATTGTCAGCATTTCTTCTGGAAATAAAAGATCCATTGGGAGAGTAAATTTAAAATCCAAACAGATAAGAGCCATTAAAGGAGTGGTGAATTAGCCCTGAAGATCTACCACCGCTTTTCCCCTAGAGAAACTCACTGATTCTGAGCACAGTGATAAAAAAGAGGTAGTTGAGTATTACCAAACTGAAAACCAGCACTGACCCAGCTTAATATCTGCTATTCTATCAGACCCAGAGAGGAAAATGTTAAGTTGTCTCTGGCGGAAGATACCACTATCTAGAATCTCTTCAGTTCTTTTGTACACAATGTCCAGCACACGATCACTATTACTAGTAACTTGGAGAGGCATTACCATATGACAAATAACAAGAGGAAAAAACAGAAAAAATAGAAGTAGACCCACAGATGATACCAAACAATGAAGGCATACAAGAATTCCAAAATAACTACTGATGGAAGAGTTTAAAAAAACAGATGAGGGACTTCCCTGATGGTCCAATGGTAAAGAATCCACCTTCCAATGCAGAGGATGTGGATTCGATACCTGGTTGCGGAACTAAGACCCCACATGCCGCGGGGCAACTAATCCTGCACACCACAACTACTGAGCTCACGTGCCTCAAAGAGAGAGCCCAGGTGCCGCAAACTACAGAGCCCATGCGCCCTGGAGCCCATGTGACACAACTAGAGAAGAGAAAACTTGCACACCACAACTAGAGAGAAGCCCGCACGCCACAACGAAGAGCCTGCACGCAACTAAGACCCGATGCAGCCAACATAAGAAAAATAAAATAAATTAAATTTAAAAAAAAACAGGGACTTCTCTGGTGGTCCAGTGGTTAAGAATCTGCCTTCCAATGCAGAGGACATGGGTTTGATCCCTGGTCAGGGATCTAAGATCCCACATGCCGAGGGGCAACTAAGCCCACATGCTGCAACTACTGAGCCTGCTCACTCTGGAGCCCACACACCACAACTAGGGTGAAGCCTGCTCGCCTCAATGAAGAGCCCGCATGCTGCAATGAAAGATCCCACATGCTGAAACTAAGACCTGACACAGGCAAAAATAAATAAATAAGAATAAATAATTAAAACATAAAAAATAGTAATAAAAAGACAGTAAATAAAAGAATTGCAACAGGTAACTGGAAGTTATAAAAGACAATCAAAGTGAATTTCTAGAGAGAGAAGTTCTCAAAAGATCTAACGTAGGTATAACTGGAGAGAACGGTCAAGTATTGTCCAAAAACTGAACAAAGACACTTCTGAGTAGAATCTATCAAATTACTGAAAGCCAACATTCTCACTGCTATAACAGAAAATACTCAAAAAGATAATGATCTTGACTCATTCTACCACTGTAAAAATTACAAAGTCTCATCTGTAATAAAGAGAAAACCAGGACTCTATGTTACCTGTTCTCCATGTAGGTGGATTGGCAATTAAAATAGAATATTTATTGACATTATGAAAATACACACAATTTGACATTTGTTTTCTTTGCCAGTAGTTATGCAGAAAATTCCCAGAATTCAATCCTCTGGTCATTTAGAAAAAGCAACTGCAGGATGGATCAGAAGGAGGTAGGAAGGTAAATGAAGGACAGAGAAGATTTAGGTGCTGTCATGCTGCGAAGCAACTAAGCCCATGCGCCACAACTACTGAGCCTGCACTCTAGAGCCTGTGAGCCACAACTACTGAGCCCGCGTGCCACAACTACTGAAGCCCGTGCACCTAGAGCTCATGCTCCACAAGAGAAGCCACCACAATGAGAAGCCTGCGTACTGCAACGAAGAGTAGCCCCTGCTCGCCACAACTAGAAAAAGCCCACATGCAGCAACGAAGACCCAATGCAGCCATAAATAAATAAATAAAATTTTAAAGAAGATTTAGGTGCTGAATGAAGGTGCTTATTTCAATCTAACAAAGCCCAAAATAGTCCTTTGAGAATATGGAAATTTCGCTAGTTTCTTAGCACAGAGCATAAAATATACAGTAGAAAAAGTGGATATTCCAGATAGCAGATTCTACATTACTTCAGGCAGATGTCCTTACCCAGTGATATCAAGTTAGTATAATTCTCCAACATCACATCTCTGTACAAGTTCCTCTGATCTGAGTTTAGGCATTCCCACTCTTCCTGAGAGAAGTCTATGGCAACATCACTGAATGTCAGTGGCACCTGAAATGATAAATTCATGTATTATTTGTAAAAGTAGAAAAAAAATTTCAAGATGGAATATTGAGTTGCAGTAGGGGGTGATATATAAAAACAAGTAGGCTGAAGTTAAAGATCATGACATGGGTAGATCAGAGTAAATAATAAATAAATTAGCATATCTGAAGTAGATTCCCTACCCAATCTTGAAGAATCCTGTTGGAGCACAAAACATTTAATTTTAATTTTCAAAATTTTCTTTAACCTCTTCCCCACAGTTCAGTATTATCCACCAGATGTGGTTCTCATCTTCCCTTTCTACAATCCCTTACTGAACTTCTGGTTCTTGAGTTAGAACACACTAATGTAGAATGATCCAGAACAACACTGAGTGACTCAAGCCAAGCAATCTCTCTTCCCCTACAAAATGGGCCTCAGAACCCTATTCACTTCTCAGTGATTCCTTAGCCAGAACCCCTCCTCTCTGTAGGCAGGCACCAATCCCATTTCAACCCAAACCTAAAAGCTTTTCAAAGCTGAGATCTCATCTAACACTGAGACTGAGACCATTCGAAACCAAATTCTCCCTTATCTACCTGGAAAACTATGGAGAAAGTTCTCCCTCTTCTGGTCAAAGAGGACCACCATTTCTATACAATGAAACTACAAACCTAACAAGGGAAGCTAAAATACTTCCTTCAAGGTACTTCACCCCTTTAGTGCTCCAACACTGCTCTCGAGAGAAGACTGAACATATAGAAGAGGAATAACTCATTTGATGAAAAACTGAAAAATCAGTTTGAAAAAAGGGAGCAAATAGGGAGGACACCATCCTTCTCTGTAAAGGCAGCAACTGTGAAACAGGCTGAGATACAGCTTTCCTAGGAAGGAGGTTTTGGGATAAAGAATGAAAATATTATCTGAATTAAAATTGTAATATTTCAGGAAGGAGAGACATCCACTTACCCGGCCCATGGTTTTAGAACTGCCAATCATCCTCAGAAGCTGAGTCCAGAGAAGCCAGAGCTGAGGGAGGAAAAAGAAGCCTTGAAACCCAATGTAGCTCAGAACTCCCAAAATTAAGGTAAGAGAGCCTCTCTTTTTTCTTCTTTATTCCTGTTTCTCGCCATCCTTGCCCACTCTCTGCCCTCCCAAACACATAAACACATGTCAGGGGATATGAGACAGAGTCCAGACAAACTCAAACCCTTTCCTGTGTCTGGGAAACAAGCCTCACAAGCGTGGATACAGAGCAGAGGCTCTCTTGAACCAAAGCCAGATCCAGACACGCCCCTCTGGCCTATTTCTCATTCTGATCATGCCAGATGTACCCAGCTTGGGTTGTCCAGTCACACTAAGTGGATCCTCCCCAATTCAGCCCTACCTTCCAGGGTTGAGACCAGGCCATACAACACAAACTTCAACAACCTTCATGTCCTCAAGGTGGACCTGGACTCTGCCAGACAAAAGGCAGAAAACAGGGACTTCCCTGGTGGCGCAGTGGTTAAGAATCCACCTGCCAGTGCAGGGGACATGGATTCGAGCCCTGGTTTGGGAAGATCCCACATGCCGTGGAGTAACTAAGCCCGTGAGCCACAACTACTGAGCCTGTGTTCTAGAGCCCTCGAGCCACTACTACTGAGCCCACGTGCCACGACTACTGAAGCCCATGTGCCTAAAGCCCGTGCTCTACAACAAGAGAAGCCACCGCAATGAAGAGTAGCCCCCACTCGGTGCAACTAGAGAAAGCCTGCGCGCAGCAAAGAAGACCCAATGCAGCCAAAAATAAAAAGAAATAAATTTTTTAAAAAGGCAGAAAAGAGTAGGGACCAACTTGGAAAACTTGACCACCATAAAACTGTCTGCCCACGTGAAGCCAGAACTTGACTCCAAGGTCCTCTGGGCTGACCAACCTGGATTTCCCTATCAGGATCCACTTTGCTTGCTGGCATGAATCACTGCCACCCAGTACTCACAGGGAGATGTGAATTCATACTCACTAAAGCCATACAGTAATACATAGATATTTGTAACCTTCTATGTGATAGCTGCGCTATACACATTAACATTTAATCCTGAAATGTACTTATTAACTCAATTCAACAGATGAGGAAATAAAAGCTCAAAGAAGTAAAGGTATTTTCCCATATCACAAACTATAAGTAGAAGTGGTGTTTTCAATCACATTTCTATAATTATAAAGTCAACTTTTTTTTGAACTGTTGTCTCTGACACCCAGATTTTTTGTTTCATTATATGAAACCTGAACATAAATAATTAAGACAGCACCTGTCAAAAGATTTACTAAAGAGATGTTTTAAAGCAACAAAGATAGTACAATTTTACAGGTATTCAACTGTCAGATTTTAAAAGTTGATGATACACCACATATTAGTAAGGCTGTAGGGAAAAGAGCATTCTCATGCTGTCCTATAAACCTGTGAAAACCTAGTGCAATTGAGACATGTACGAAAAATTGTGCATAAGAAGAATTTAACGATGAAAGGCCGTTTCTGAGACTTCACCTAAAGGAAATAACTGTAAGATGTGCCTAGAGATGTATAAAGGAATATGATGATAGACACTAGTTAAAATGAAAAAAAAAACGCTGGAGAAAAATCTAAATGTACTTAGATGGGTAGTTAATTCAATAAAGTGTATTCATTCATATAATGGAAAATGAAATAGATACTGAAAATGATTGCGCAGATCACTGGTTCTCAATAGGGGGTGATCCTGCCCCCCAGGGCACATTTGGCAATGTCTGGAGACATATTTGTTTGTCAAAATGTGTGGAGGGGTGCTACTGTAACTAGTGGGTGGAGATCAGGGATGGTGCTGACCATCCTACAAGGCATAGGAAAGCCCCCCACCACAGCTAAGAATTATCTGGTCAAAAATATCAACAGTGCTAAGGTTGAGAAACCCTGACATAGACTTATTAAAGGAAGATAACGTAATCCAGAGTCTCTATAATATATTATCAACAATGCCAGTATATGATAAAACTTACGAAAAATGCAAAGAAACAGGAAAGTTACTGATAATCAAGAGAAAAATCTCAATAGAAATAAACCCAAAGATGATCCAGACAATGGAGCTAGTAGACAAGGACTTGAAGATATTATGATTAACATGCTAAAGAAAATAGAGAAAAAGATGGACAAAATGGAATGCAAAACGGAGTATATCAGTAGAGATTTAGTAGAATCATAAAAAAGAGACCCACATGAACATTTTTTTTTTTAACATGTTTATTGGAGTATAATTGCTTTACAATGGTATGTTTCAGCTTCACAACAAAATGAACATTTTATAGTTATAAAAATATAATATCAAAAATTTTAAATGTATTGGATGGATTTAACAGCAGAAAATGGTATTAATTAACATAAAGTCAAATTAACAATAATCTTATGCAGAGAGGAAAAGAAAGAACAGAGCTGAATGTAAGAGAAGTACAAGAAACAGACAAAATGTGGAATTGAACACCTAAAAGAAATAGAACGGAAAATTGATTTGAAGAAATAATGGACAAAATCATTCCAAATCTCATGAAATACCTTGATACATAAATCAAAAAGCTCAGCAAACCTAACCAGATAAAATAAGGAAATTCTTACCCAGGCATATCATAGCCAAATTGTTGAAAAACAAAATTGAAAAACATATCTTGAAAGTATGTAGTTTAAAAAAGACATCAGTTATAAATAAACAACAACAAAAATAGTTCTTATCTCAACAGAAACTTTAGCGGCCTGAAAAATGGAATCGTATCTTCAAAGTGCTGAAAGAAAAACCCCTGACAACTCTGAATCTTATGCCTGGAGAATATATCTTTCAGAAATGAAGGTAAAATAAAGATTTTTTTGAACAGAAGCTGAGAGAATTTCTGATCAACAGACCCACAATACAAGAAATAGTAAAGGACAGCAGTCAGGCTAAAGGAAAATAATCCTAGATGGAAGCATGAATGTGCCAAAAAGCAATGAACAGCTGTGGACAAGTAAATATATGACTGATATGACTAAACAAATGGACTGTTTAAAGGAACCAAAACTAGAATGCTTTGTGAAGATTGTATTACTGGAAGAAGGAATGACAATATCAGCATAAATGGATTTAAACTATTGAAATGTTCTTATGTTATTTGATATGTGGTTAAAAAACCCTACTTTTTTTTTTTTTCTCAGCTGTGCCATGCAGCATGCAGGATCTTAGCTCCCTAATCAGGGATCGAACCCGTGCCCCCTGCATTTCGAGTGGAGAGTCTTAACCACTGGACCGCCAGGGAAGTCCCCTAAAAACCATATTTTAAAGAAGACTGTATTAAAGATGCACCCTATATGGGGAAATATGTATACATATAGCTGATTCACTTTGTTATACAGCAGAAACTAACACAACATTGTAAAGCGATTACATTCCAATAAAGATGTTAAAAAAAAAGATGCATCCTATAATAGCTCAGGTAACTACTAAAAGAATTATACAGAGATGCACAACTAAAATTGCTAATAGAGGAGATTAAATGGAATAATGAAAACTACCTGATTAATTCAAAAGAAGGCAGGAAAGGAGGAATAAAGAAATGAAGAATAAATGGGATAAACAGAAAACATATAGCAAGATGGCATATTTAAACCAAACTATATCAGTAACTGTAATAAAATGTGAATGGACTAAACATTGCAATTAAAAACTAAGATTTTCAGATTAAATTAAAAACAGAATCAATTACACTGCTTATAAGAAACATACTTTAAAGACACAGATATGTTAAAAGTAAGAGTGGAAAAGTATATTAGACAGTAATTAGAAGCACACTGGTATATTAACAACAGATAAATAGACTTAAATGCAAGAAGTATTATAAGTAATAAAGAGATATTTCCTACAATTCAACAAGAATATAACAGTTATCCTACATTCCTTATACTCCTAATAAGATAGCTTCAAAAGCAAAAGTCAACAGAATTAAAGAACAAGTTTATAATTAACTTTAGAGATTTTTTATACCCTCCATTGGTAACTGATAACAGGAAGAGAAAAAAAAATCAACAAGGCCATAACAGGTTGAACAGGAATAACCAAAATGACCCAATTGAACATTATACTCCCAAAATACAGACTACACATTCTTTGCATATTTTTCAGAATATTCTGGGCCATAAAATAAGTATCTATAAACTTCAAAGGATTAATATCAAAGAATGTATATTTTGGAACTCAAAAACAGGTATTTCTCAAATGTTTCCAAATATAAAAATTCACTTGAAATAAGTACAGGTCAAAGAATAAATCATAATGGAAACTAGAACATATTTGGAGCTAAATGATAATAAAAGTATGGCATAACAGAGCTTGTGAGATGCAGTCAAACCAATGTTTACAATGATATTTTTAGTTTTAAATATATATTTTTTGTTTTTGTTTTGTTTTTACAAATGCTGCAGATAAATGCCATTCATTATCTAATCACCACTGGTAAATACTAGGTGTACTAAAGACATTGACATAGTAAATCAATTAGTAGTGAAATTATTATGAAAATCCTTTGTCAAATTACTACAATGCCAAATAAACCCATAATTTATTTTCTCCCAGTAGATAGCATGAGCATTTATAATGATTGCCCACTTATTATTTTCCTTTCTTATTACTCTTTGATCCCCTTCACCCAAACATAAATTTATGTTTTATAAAAGTAGTATGGTTAAAAATCAATGATCTACCTTTGGAAGCTAGAAAAGGGAAAGCAAATTAAGCCTACAGAAAGTAAAACATACTAAAATGAGTGGCATAAAAAACCCAGATCTATAACAGAGAAAAACCAATAAAGCCAAAAGTTATTTCATTGAAGAGATAAGATTAATAAACCTCTAGCTATACTGTTCAAGGAAAAAATTGCCAATATCAGGACTATAAAAGGAGATATCGCTACATATATTATAGACATTATTAAATTGATAACAGAATTTTATGAACAACTCTACGACAATAAACTTGAAAATGTAGAAGAAATTTTAAAATTTCTTGAAAACAATTCAATGAAACTGATATAAAAAATGGAAAATCTGAATATTGTTATATTTATTAAAGAAATTAAATCTATATTAATTAAGGACCTTCCCATAAAATGTCAGGCCCAGAGGCTTCAGTGGCAAATTCTCCAAACAGTTAAGGAATTAAAAATGCCAGTCAAACTCAATATCTTCTAGAAAACAAATAAAAATGGACCATGTCTTGAGGCCCTCATAATTGTGATATCAAAACCTGACAATGACATTACAAGAAAAGAAAACTACAATATATCTCTATCATGAACACAGATGCAAGTATATTAAATAAAATATTAGCAAGGAGAGGCCAGTGATATATATGTCCAAGAGATTTATTCTCAAAATGCAAAGTCACTTTATTTTTAAGAAGCAATCAATATAATCTTCAAACTTTAAATAATAAAGGAGAAAAACCATTCAATCATTTCATTACATGCAGAAAAACCATTTGATAATATTCAACATCAGTTCATGATAAAAATTCTCAGCCAACTAGGAATAGAACTTCTTTAATTTGATAAAGGGGATCTACAGAATAAAACTGAGAGGTAAAATATGGACTAATGTCTTGAGTTCAGGAATAAGGCAAGGATCTCCACTTTTACCACTTCCATTTAACTTTGTATTTGAAGACCTATCCAATACCATAAGAGAAAAAAGTGAAATGAAAGGTATGAAGATTGGAAGGAAGGAGGTAAATCCATATTTATTTGCAGATAACATGATTTTGTACATAGAAAAAAATTTTCAATCCTACAGACTATTAGAATACATGAATTTATTAGAAAGTTTGTTGAATAAAAGGTCACAGTATAAAACAAACAATTATAGTAAAGCAAAGCTATTGAAAAATGAGATTTTAAAAATCCCAACAGTTCATAAAAAACATGAAAAATATAAAACACTTTGGAATGAATCTAACGAAAGAGGTGCAAGACTTTTAGATTGAAAACAACAAAACATTAAGGAAAGAAGTTAAAGAAGAATTAAATAAATGGAAACATATTTCATGTTCATGAATTGGAGGAATCTATTTTAAGATGACCACTTCTCTCTAAATTGATCTACTGATTCAATGCATCTCTAAACAATATCAGCAGCTTTTTTTTAGAACATTAAGAAAATCATTCTAAAATTATATGGAAATGCTAAGAATCCAGAACAGTCAGGGCAATTTTGAAGAACAAAGTTGTCGAATGTACATTACCAGATATCAAGACATAATATAAAGCTACTGTAATTAAAACAGCAGGACTGACACAGGATTGACAAACAGACCAACAGAATAGACAGTCCAGAAAGAGCCCTGTACATATATAGTCACATTTTTTTAACAATAAAAGTCTGACTTAGAGCAGAAAAGATAGTCTTTTCAACAAATGATGCCTGAGCAATTGGCAATCTGTGTGGAAAGAATGGTTTTGACCCTGATCCCACCACATATACAGATGTAAATTCAAGATGGATCATAGGCCTAAATGTGAAAGCTAAAGCAATAAATTTTCTGTAAGAAGAAACAGGAAAATATCTTCATGATCTTGGGGTAGGCAAAATTTTCTCTTTTTTTTGGTTTAATTTTTATTTCCACTTACTTTAGACTTAGAGAAAAGTTGCAAGAGTAGTACAGTTTCCTATATACTGCTCAAACTAATTTGAACATCTTACATAGGACAATGGTCAAAACCAGGACATTAACATTGGTACAGTACTACAAATGGCATATCTTATTCAAATATCACCAGTTTTTCCCACTAATGTCATTTTTCTTTTCCAGGATTCTATACATGATCCCACACTGCATTGAGCTGTTATTTCTCCTCAGTCTCTTCCAATCTCCACAGTCTTTCTTATGGTAATAGCTTTCAACTACTACCATAACAAATTACCACAAATTTAGCTTAAAACAACACACATTTATTATCTCACAGTTTCTGTGAACTTGGAGTCTGGACAGTTTCGATAGATGGTCTCCTCATGCTGGTCTTATAAGCTGCAAACAAGGTATCAGCTGGGCTGTGTTCTCATTCAGAGGCTCAAGTGGGGAAGAATCCACTTTCAATTTCATTCAGATTGTTGGCAGAATTCATACGCTTGCGGCTGGATGACTGAGGGCCTCAACTTTTTGCTGGCTGTCAGCTGGAGAATGACCTCAGGTCCTAGAGGCTGCCTGCAGTTTCTTGCAAGGGCTTGTCCAACACTGCCTTACTTCATCAAGCCCACGAGCAGAGTCTCTAGCTCCAGTATGCTATGATGGAGTCTTTTTTTGTTTTGTTTTTGGGTTTTTTTGGCCGTGCCTCGCAGCACGTGGGATCTTAGTTCCATGACCAGGGATCAAACCCACGTCCCCTGCAGTGTAAGTGCAGAGTCTTAACCACTGGACCACCAGGAAAGTCCCTATGATGGAGTCTTATGTGACATAATGTAACCATAGTAGCGACACCCCTTTACTTTTGCCGTATAAAGTAACCTAATCACAGGACTGACATCCCCTCATCAATTTTCTATTGGTTAGAAACAAGTCACAGGTCCTGCTTGCACTCCAATGGAGGGGGATTATACAATGGCATAGACACCAGCAGGCAGGAATCATGGCGGTCACCCTAAAGTCTGTCTATCACACCTAATTCATGACCTCTTCACTTCGGAGGAGTACAAATCATTTAAGTTATCAAACGTCCCTCCACTTGGTTTGTCTGATGTTTCACAATTGGAATGAGGCTCTGCATTTTTGGCAGTACCACAGTGATGCTCTGTCCTTCTCACTGTATGACATGAAAGGGCTCATGATGTCAATACTTTATCACTGATGATGTTAACCTTGATCACTTGGTGAAACTGCTTTCTGATGGGTTTCCCCACTAGAAAAGTACTACCTTTCCCTCTGTTGTTAATAAATATCATGGGTGATGGGGAATCCTCTGACACTATGCAAACCCTTTTTCTCTTCAAACTTTCACCCTCTAGTTTTAGCATCTACCAGTGGATCTCGTCTGAAACAACGATTACTGTGGTGTTTGCCTAATGGCCATTTTCCATGTCCCTCTTTCCTTCTACACTTAACAACTGGAATTCTACCATAAGGAAAATCTGTCCCTTCTTCCCCAGGAAAAGATGTTTTAAACAGAACAAAAATGCGATAGCCATAAAAGAAAAAGATTGTTAAATGAGCTCAGTTAAAATTAAGAATATCTCTTCATTATAAGATATCATTAAGAAAGTGAATAAGAAGTTACAGGCTAATAGGAGATATTCCCTTTCTCTGTCTGTCTGTCTCTCTCTCTACACACACACACACATACACACACACACACACACACAGGTTTATATACACACACAAAGGACTTGTATTCAAAATATATCTAAAATTCCTACAACTCAATAGGAAAAGGAACAAAAGCCAGGCTAAAAAATGGACAAAAGATTTGAATAGACAGTTCATCAGAGTATGTCAAAATGGGCAGTATCATATGAAAAGATGCTCACATTATTTATCAAAAAAATACAAATTAAAATCACAATGAGATACTCCTACACATGCAACAGAATGGTTAAATTTAAAATGATTGACGATATCAAGTATTGGCCAGTTTGAGAAGTAACTAGACCTTGCATACATTGCAGTCGGAGTGTAAATTAAGTTAACCACTTCCACCCCCAGGTATATTCCCAGGAAAAACAAGAACATGTGTCCACAAAAAGACTTGTCCAAGAATTTTCATAGAAGGTTTATTCATAATAGTCAAATATTGGAAACAACTCATCATCATAAGAATGAATAAACAAATTGTGGTAAGGTCATACAATGGAATACTACACAACACTTGGGTTGGGGTAACCTACTGATTCACAAAACAACACGTATGAATCTCAAAAGTTCAGTTTTGGACAAAAAGCAGCAGAGACAAGAGATTCCATTTATATGAAGTTCAAGAACAGGCAAATCTCATCTTGAGTGATAGAAGTCAGTATAATGTTTACTTCTTGTGGGGGAGGGTTCGTTCTAACTGGGACAGGACATAAGCACATCTTCCAGGAGGGGATAGAAATGCTCTATTTCTTGATTTGGGTGGTGTTTTCAAATGTAAAGATTCATTAAGCTATATGCACAGCTAAGATATGTATACTTTATTATATATATTTCCATGAAAAAATGATAGAGACCTTTATTTGATGATAATGGGTAAAACCATTATATTTCAAAATGTTACCCTGTTATGACAAGTAAAATAACATGTATGAATATATGCATGTGCATTGAGGGATGGATAAAAAAATTTGGAGTAAAATGTTTACAGTAGTCTCTTCGTTTTGAGCTTTTCTGTACTTTCTGAATTACTGTATGAGAATGTATTACTTCTATAATAAAAATTATAATAGAGCTAATCACTCTCTTTGAGATTGGAGGGTGAAATAAAAGATGAATATGGTGATATTTGGGGTATGATGATGAGGCCTTTTTTTTCTCCAAGGGCTTAAAGTCTCTGAGTTGATTGTCTCATACTGGAATATCAAGGTTCTGTGTCATCAGTCATGAACTTTGATATTCCATAGTTTTCCCTTTTCTGGATTCCCCTGACTCACCTGGACAAATCCTCTTGTCACTACACTCTCCACCTACTAGGCCTGGACTCCTTGTTCCAATTCAGGAATTACACCTGGCTTGGAAACAGAAAAACCTGCACATAAAAGAAATAGAACTTAGGCATGCTGCAGCTCTCAACAAATCCAGACACAGTCCTGTGGTGTAGGGGCGGGGAAGTCCCACATAAGAAAGGCCAAAGGAAAGCCATTCACGGAACCAGGGTGATGAGGCCTCAAGGAAAATAGAGTAGAACAGTCACTTAAATCTCAAATCCCTCAGAAATTCAAACACTTCAACCTCCCTAGAGGGTCACATTAAGGGAAGAAAAAAGCCCCAGAGATCACATTTTGAATTTAAAGATTTGATCATAAAGACTCTGCTTCTATGATTTTTCAGTATCACATCCTTATACAAGTTCTTCTGAGACAGTACAGTTATCACTAGAGACTGTTGCCACATTCCCAAACGTCACTACCCCTGAAGTTACAAAGCCCTAAGTTCCCATATGGCCTGAGAAATTGGAAGAAGTGAAGTTGATCAAGATATAGAATTGGTACAGCATGGAGAGCAGGCGTGTTCAGCATTCTAAACTCAGCAACAGCTGATGTGTCCATGTAATGAAATATTAAAGTCATTAAATGCTAAGTTTGAGAAACTGTTAAGGGAATGAAAATATTCAAAATATCATGTCAGTATAAAAATTAGGTTACAAAGACCAAAAGCTCAATTAAAAAGTGGGCAAAGAATCTGAACTGACGTTTCTCCAAAGAAGACATACAAATGGCCAGTAAGTATGTGAAAAGACCCTCAATATCATAAGTCAACAGGGAAATGCAAATCAAAACCACAAGACCCACTTCATACCCACTAGGATGGCTATAATAAAAAGGAAAGATAATAACAGGCATTGGTGAAAATGTGGAGAAATTGGAACCCTCACATGTGGCTGTTGGGAATGTAAAATGGTACAGACATTTTGGTAAACAATCTGACAGTTCCTCAAACGAGTTACCATATGACCTGGCAATTCCACTCCTAAATGTATACCTAAGAGAAACAAAAATATATGTCTACCCAAAAACCTGTACACAAATGCTCCTGTCGGCATTATTCATAATAGCTAAGAAGCAGAAACAACTCAAATGTCCATCAACTGATGAATGGATAAATAAAACATGGTATATCCATACAATGGAATGTTATTCAGCCTTAAAAAAGAAGAGGGCTTCCCTGGTGGCGCAGTGGTTGAGAGTTCGCCTGCTGATGCAGGGGACACAGGTTCGTGCTCCGGTCCAGGAAGATCCCACATACCGCGGAGCGGCTGGGCCCATGAGCCATGGCCGCTGAGCTGGCGCATCCCGCAACAGGAGAGGCCACAACAGTGAGAGGCCAGCGTACCACAAAAAAAAAAAAAAAAAAAAAGAAGAAACTTCCGACACATGCTACAACATGGATGAATCTATGTGAATCACAGTGAAAACATTATGGTAATTCAAAGAAGCTGGTCACAGAAGACCACATATTGTGTGATTCTAGTTCTACAAAATGTCCAGAGGGGCAAATTAATAGAGACAGAAGGTAGGTAGGTGGTTCACCATGGCTGGGGCAGTTGCAGGAAATGGGGAGTGACTGCTGATGGGAATAGGGTTTCTCTTTAGGGTGATGAAAATGTTCTAAAGTTGACTGTGGTGATGGTTTCACAAGCCTGTGAATATATTAAATGTATAAAATTGTACACTTCAAGTAGCTGAATGGTGTGGTATGTGAATTGCATCTCAATAACATTGTTAAAAAATCAGGTTACGAATGCACAAAATCATACAAATAGAAAATACGATTATATTTATAAAAATATATGTACTTATCAATACATATAGAAAAAGTGACAGAAATCAATAAATAGAAAAATATATATAAATGTATGTAGCTATTTATTAACATTGCTTATTTGTGTGTCATAGCCTTGGTTTTCTTCCTTTTCCTAAATGTATATTTCAGAAAATTTTAAACAATAGCCATTCCTTAATTTCACACACATACACACACAGATATGTTTTTTATCTTTTAAAGGAGCAACCTCTTCTCCAGAGAGGTGGAAAAAAATCTAACCTCTTCTTCCCCCCTTTAATATCCCTGAACCTGAAGATAAAGCCTAGTACACTCTATAACAAAGGTTCTCAAAATTTTATCTCTGGGAACTTATCAGAAATGCAGATTCTCAGCTCCATCCCAGACCCACTGAATTAGAAATTCTGAGGCTGGGGCCCAGCAAACTGTATTTGAACAAGCCCTGCAGGTGATTCTGATGCAGCTTACATTTGAGAACGAATGCTGTTCTAAAAACAGTTCCTGTGTTTTTACTGAAAAGTTTTACTTCATTTCCATCAGTTCCCAGTACTTGAACCAACCCTAATTTGTTTGTCTATAGAAATGTATGTCTGTGTAAACTGGAGGCTATGATGTTTTGTATACATTAATGGTAGTCTCAATGCTGCTTCCTATTATATATTCCTGATTGATAGATTTATTTTGCTTCTGAACCTGTCCTCCTAGCTAAGATGTCCTGCATACAGTTGTCGCATTTACTGTCACTATGCATTTAACATCACTAGAATAAAAACGCTAAGGTGTAAAATCCATTTTTCTTCACAGAGTTCTCATAATTTGATCATATTCTGGCAGTGCTGCTATAAACAAAATGATGTCTCTTCCTATCAACTCCTGAGGCAGGTCACCTGAATTTCTCCAGTGGCATTTCAGATCCTCTATCTTACTTATTCCTATCCTGATTTCTTTTTTTTTTAAATTTTATTTATTTTTTATACAGCAGGTTCTTATTAGTTATCTGTTTTATACATATTAGTGTATATATGTCAATCCCAATCTCTCAATTCATCTCACCCCCCTTTCCCCCTTTGATGTCCATACATTTGTTCTCTACATCTGTGTCTCCATTTCTGCCTTGCAAACCGGTTCATCTGTACCATTTTTCTTGATTCCACATATATGCATTAACATATGATACTTGTTTTTCCTCTTTCTGACTTACTTCACTCTGTATGACAGTCTCTAGGTCCACTGATTTCATTTTTTTACTGGATAACAAGTCATTTGAGGATAGCAACTATATCTTCTTGTCATTGTGTTCCAATGAATACAAGCGTAAATATCTGGTATTTGACTCAAATTTCAAAACCAGAAATTTATCCTTAGGTTATGACTATAATAGAACATAAAGATCTATGCATAATGATGTTCATTATAGACTAATTTAATTTTTAGTCAAAAATAGAAATATAATAGCTAACAGTAGGCCACAGGTTAAATAAATTATGGAGAGAAGGGCTTGGGGACCCTGACGGGATGATTCCTCTGCATGGCCATATGATTTACAGATATGTCAGTACCAGGCAGGACATTTCAGCTGAAGGAAAAGAAGGATTACATGCCTTTAAAGTTAAAGTGTGTTTTATGAATAATGAGGAAACACCAACTCACCTGAACTTAAACTTTTAGTTGTGTAACAAAAATTCTTTCCTCTCTCAGGATCCTTTTTTTTCCGAGACAGGCTGCACTGGGAACAGAGAAGGCAATCATGAGACATCAGGATTTTCTTGGAGAGCACATTCACTTACAAAATACCCTCCCTCCATGACCATACCCCTTTACCCAGTCCACCACAAACAACCAAATGGGAGTAGGAAGGAGACTGGGACAGCGTTGACCTTTCCCAGTGTGAGAGAGGCCCCGTCACTGATGTCTAGGGTGGAATCTGTCTAATTCACAGCAGGTTCCTGGGGCCAGAGTTTTGGAAATGCTGTGGTTGTGAAACATAGCTGGCCCCTCGGAACTTTCTAAGGGGACCCTCCCAGGAGGGAATCCTACTCCTGGGACCTTATCAGGTCATCCCAGAAGCCTGTCTTGGGGCCGCATTCAGCTTCAGAAAATCTCATCTCATGATCGATTGCTGGGATCCTCCATTCTTCCATTCTAAAGCTCAGAATCTGGCTTCCCTCCTTTATCTGCGCCAGACCCCAAGTGGCTGTGAGAGGAGAGGGCTGAGGAATCAGCAAAGTCTAGAGCCAAGAGTTCCAGTGACAACCCACATGGCCACACAACTCTCGCTCATCCGTAAGCCACGCAGTTAAATAAGCACAATCGCCCAGTTAAATAATGACACACAAACGCACACATTGTCACGGAGACACGTCTACACCTACACAGACACACACACACACACACACAAATATCTCAATAGGCATACAAATCTTCTCTGCTGCTCACGCAGACACGAGCCTGAGACTCGAGGCCCGACAAGCTGCGTCCGCGCCCGGAGCGTCCTTGCCTTGAGCGCCTGTCACCCCCACCGCGGGTCCCAGTCCAGCTGCAGTGAGAGACTATGGAAGCTTCCGCCCATTCTTATCTTTGGATACGATCTACTCACCACGTAGGGACCACAGCTGCTCGGCCACCGGAAGAGGACGCAGGGACCGAGGCTGATGCGAGCCCGGTGGCTTCTGGGAAATGCAGTCCACCCGGAACTGTCCTGGCGCCGGGAGTGCGCGGTGTTCCGAGTGCGCAGGCGCAGGCGTGTGGCGGCACGCGGCGGAGGTTGACACGACCTCGGGAGGACTGTGCCTTCAGGTAGACCTGCGTACGTGGAAAAGGCGAGTGGAATATGAGCCCAGACTGTAGCAGTCCGAGCAGGCGCTTGGGGACTTAAGAGCCTCAAACCTGCGTGCAGCAGGAGGAGGAGTCGGTGGTGGGCTCTTGGGTACCGTGGCTACCTACGTGTGAGCTGTGAGGACAGGACTTTAGTGTTTCACCCTCCGCCCAGGTAGCATCATCACCTGGAGTAGCGCCAGGAGCACAGCTGGCATTAAGTATGCATTTGTTTTAAAGAAAGAACGCCTGGGCGTGTGTAGGTGTGTTTGCGTTTTCATGCTGTACGATGTTGTGGGACCCATTGTGTGTCTGTAACCATGTATGGGATTGTTTCTGTTTGGTTTGTTTCGTAGAGTGTGGATGTGGAAATGGTTTGTGTTTCAGATTTTGAGATATTATAAAACTTGTTAAGCACACTTCCTCCCCGCTCCTCCATCCCCACCCCGAAATTCCTCCTGCCCAGTAACTTGCCTTTCTTTCCATAAAAGGCCGAGTCTGGCTGACTTTTGCCAAAGACACATACTAGCAGGGCTGACTCATCCATTAGACACAGAAGGCAAAATGCCTAGGGCCCACAATACTTTTAGGGGCCTACAAAAATGTCTTTTAAAATCAGAAGTAAACATTAATTTTTGGTCAAAGAAAGTGTTTAATTCAAAGAAACTCAATTTATTATTATTACTATACCTAAACAATCGTGAAATACTATTATTTTTATTTTCTGTTTTTTTGGAAGAAGGGGCCAACAAAGGTCATATTGCAGCCCTGCACCTTAGCCAAATCAAATCAGATTTCAATCCAGCCTTCTTCCTCTCTCAACTCCCCAGTGGGACTTGTGAAAACAGCACTGTAACCGATGACCTTAGGTGAAACTGCGGTGAACTCTGACCTTCCCTCATGTGAGCCCTCCAAGGCCCCAGTGGAGAGTGGAACATTTCTTTTCCCAGCTCTCTGGGCAGCTTGAAAGGAAGTTTGAACGTATTTTAATCTCCTAATAAAACTTTATTTCCCAGACTCTTCTAGAATAAACATTAAAAAGTTTGAGTACTTTTGTGACTGTGTGTGGAATTATATAATATGATGCACTATTTGAGGCCTGTGAGATTATGACTTTAGTTATGAGATTGTATGTTTTTATCTGTGAGTATGACTTAAAATTTACTTGACTTTTTTGCTTTTCTTACGTATGCATTCTGTGGATATTGTGAATGTGGATCATGTGAACAGGCTTACTGAGTGAGAAACTACATGACTCCGAGATGGATATGTGGGATTTTGATTATATGAATATAGAACCCTGTGATATTATGACTGTATATGTTTGTGAGTGACTAGGCCACCTTATTCTTCTCAACAATGAAAGAGAAATGTTGCACCTTTTTGCGGCAATAACTTTAAGATTTGGGTAAAAGGATTTGCTA